TTTTTTTCCTTCTTAAATATGTTATCACAGAGGCGCTTCCACTGTCGCTGATTGGCTTGGCCTTGGCCAGCGGTGGACACAGGCAAAACTTCTAGCAGCTTCTCACAGAAGCGACCCCTGTAGCCCCCCCCACTACCAAGACCTTGCCACAGAAACCCAATACACTATAGTAAAGTGTGGCTATGAAGTTAGAGTGACATTTTAAATAGCAATGGAAAAACGCAGACAAAATTAAATAACTCTAGGGCAGACAGATTGGTCCCAGTGATTTACAGTCATGAGAAGAAGTGCTTTGTGTTAGTGTCCTTGGCATGAATTAGTATTTTCCTGCTATACTTTGTATTACATTAAAATGTACTACTCAAATTACATCTTGACTGAATTAGAAGAGTGCAGTGCATACCTGTACTTCAAGATGCTTCCTACAGTTTGAAAGATTCCACTGACATCACTGTGCTTTAGATTTAAACTAGGGAAGACCACTATTAACAGTATTTAATTTTAAAAAAAAAAGGTTAAAAAAAAACCATACTGTGTTTTCAAGAGGATCATATAACTCCAATGGTTTTTGCCACAGGTATATCAGACATGTGCTTGTGCATTTTACAGTAAAGCTGAAGCAAGAGTCAGTAAAACATAAGACCTATTCTTTAACTTTCAAAAGCAGCTTTTCATGGAATATTCAATGCCTACCAAATACACAGAAATCAGAAGCAATTAACTGACTGCATACACAAAATCCTTATGTTCATCAAACATTTCTGTCCCAGTAACCATCCTCAAGGAACAGTGTTTTAATCCTTCGGCTTGATTTCCTTTTGGCCAGGGTGGACTGAACTAGAACTGTCTTTTACAGGAAGGTAAACATGAAGCACAAATTGTTTAAGCTACACTTTTAAATTACTTACAGAAGACATATAGAACAAAGCCAAACCTATTCCATAGGCCAGGTGATCTACATATGCATATACTATCACCCTGTACTTCGTGTATGTCATTTCATCAAAATGATTTGCTTGGAATCAAATTCCAACAAGTATCCTGCAACAGCATAATCAAGTTCTATATAAGTATGTGGCAATGAATTTCACTAATGCACTTGAAACATCCTTACTAACTTGTACTTAATTAAGTCCAGAAAAAACTTGTTCAAGCCCTTCACTACTACTACTACTGGTAAATGATCTTAGTATTGCAGGTGAGGATCAGAACTTATTTGTGTTATGTCCCTGAAATACTCCTTTTCTAGATTACCATTATAGTGGGAAAAAGACATAAAAGCAAATACTTGATGTAAAATTTTAATCATTAAAAGACTACAACAAAGGTTCAAGGAGAATGAGTGTTGTCCCTAAAAGTAAAAAGCAGAGTATTGGAAAGGAACAGTATCTGGAGGTTCTGTCCTTATCCCCGACAGTGGCTCCTTCAGCCATTCATTCTTAGCTTTACTTAGTAAATAGTAACCCTTAAGAAAAAAAGGCAAATATTCTCTGGTAGCCAGAGTATCATGAAAGTGTACATTGATTATAGATGCATGATAATGTATTTCCTGCAAATGTGGAAGGCTGATACAGTTTCTACTTGTTTAAAGAAGTCAGGGAAAAGAGGAGGAGTTGAGCCACAGAAGTGGCGTTAGCAGCATTCGTAATCCATTTTGCCATGGAAACTGCTGCACTGTGGAATCCCAGTCTGCTGTGAGCACAGGTTGCTAAGGAAAGAGAAGTAGACAGCTGTTAGAAGGCTATCAGAGCAATTCATAATGGTAGTGATAAGAGGGTGATTAGCTCCCACATCCTCTTTCCTCATTATCATTAAATCATGGCTTACTGTTAACATGTTGTTCTTTCATGATAAGTGACTACAGTAATTTTCTTACAAAAAGAGATTAGTTTAAAATGTATAAAAAAGATCACCGATACTGTGCGTCTTTTAAATAACATGCCTTACTTCAATAGCTTGTACCACTTTGTTTACCTACTGAAATATGTCCTTGAAGATTAAGTATATATGCTTAGCATGTGGCAGCTGCTAAATCATGGGAAATGTTTCCCACTAAAACTGTCACTGCATTAATGACAGTAAGTACCTTGGGAAATGTGCAGAAAAGAACTGAAGCAGAGCTCAGGCCCCCACAAACCTGCTCACCTACTAATTAACACCTGGGCATGCTTCCTTAACTTGCCTTAAGGTTACCAACTATCTAAATCATACTTCTGTTAATAACAACTCCCGCAGTCTTGAACAGTGCAACATTTAGTCTATATTTAAACCTCAATAAAAGCCCAGAAACAAGTAGCTCTTCATCTGATGGGCTTTTCCTCTAGTTTGGTGGCAGTGTCTAGACATTCCTCTGGGCCCAAGCTCTTTGAAATATGCAGTTGCAGCTACTCTTAGCTTAAAAAGCAGAGGTCAGGTGGGTTCTTCCTCTTCAATTTCAACTCCTTAAAGATCTTACACAGAAGAGATAGAGCCAGATAGGGAAGAAAAAGTGGTCTAGGGTAGGTGTTGCTCTTACTGCTGTGTCAAATGCGTCATTGCACAGAAAGAAATTCAAAATTCAGTAAGTTAATAGAGCTTAATTCCAATATAGATTCTTAAAAATGATGTTATGTTTTTGCTTCCTCTGAATAGGAAGCAGTGTAATTCTCTATTTGACAAGGAACACTACAATAAACCACACCAAAGGTAAGTGACTAGCTAAAATTAGCCGACCTCATTAAGTGAACCTTAGCCTTCTTTTTATGATGTGCTGACCCTGTCCTACAAAGGGGAATTTGCCTAAACTTCTGGTAATACGTAAACAAGCACGAAAAAAGTCACATTACCTGAGAAGCCATCCATTCTGGGGCCATAACTAAATAATCTTCCAATTCCATAAGTGTACAGAAATAGATGGTATTAGACAAGTATTTGAGGGGAAGAGAGGGACTATAACTAACAATAGATTATACAAAAATTGCTTCAATAAAGGCTTCACGTGTACGAAAGGAAAAAACTACGTCAGGATCCTCCTTGAAAAACATGACAGTACATATAAGAACAAGTAATTGAAGTACGGTCATTTGATGAAAGAAAGACTGCTGAAAAGAAATGCTCAAATAAAGATCAAGTATGCGAAGAACCAAAAAGGTATATACAATTTTGCAACACATGATGGTATACAGAGAAAGTGAGAAGTAAGGAAGTAACTAACTTTTGTGATACTACTTTATTCTTTAGAAATAGTAGAACAGTTCTCAAACTGATGACTGACTTCTCAAGTAGGTATAGAAATTGTGCTGGCTAAAGTGATTCATTGCAGGAGGACAAGTGGGATTGGTGAGGGAGATCCAGTCAGTTGGGTAGAGCAGGGATTTTAGTGAAAATGGAACTAATGCTGTATTCATCCTACAGCAAGCAGTGCAGCTCCACAACTCTGGAATGGCCAAAGTTTTTCTATGCAACTAATGCATACCTTCTTTTCCCCTTGCCAGTCCCTGCAACAGTTTTCTTCTCTCTTCCAGCCTGTAGAACTATTGCATGAGTTATACTCAGACTGAATTGAGGGACAGAAACATGAAATACATCCTGGCAAATCTAGGGGGAAGGGAAGAAAAAAAAAGATATTACTGTTGCTTTAATATAATCAGGAAGGGGATTTATTTTCTGTACAATATTGTATGAATGCAATATAATTTTGCTTTCAGCTGTCAATATTTCATTGTGACAAAAGCAAAGTTCAGTGAGGGTGTTTTGTTTGGTGTATGAACATTTGATCAAAGGTGACCACAAACAAGGGAATGCTTAACTGAGACATGAATGCTTAACAGAGTTACGAACAAGATCAAAAAAAGAAGGATCATTAAAATGTCAATTTTACTGGAAGGGAGTTAAACTGAGATGGAAGGCTTAACCTGAACATCAAGGAAATCTTCCTTACAAAGATGCACATATAATATATACCAATATACCAAAAATGTAGATGCTTCTGATTTTGCAGTGTAGGGTGTCCAAGTAGTATGAAAATGATTCTGCATGTAAAGGGGATAAACAAAATACATTTTTTGGTTTGTTGTGGTTTTTCTTTTTTTCTTTTTTTTTTTTTTTTTAAAATTTAACATTAGTCATTCATATCCAGTGAGCTTTTGGTGGAATGCTCTCTATGTGTTCCTCCAGTTATACATAAAAACCAGATAATTAGGGAAACAAATTATTTTGAAAAAATATTATCTTTCATATTAAATTCTAATACTTCCTTTTATATTTCAGGGTGCAAGTTGAATTCTATATGAATGAAAATACATTTAAAGAGAGGCTAAAGCTCTTCTTCATCAAAAACCAAAGATCAAGTAAGCAGCTGGATTAATTTCTATAACCATAATTGTGATACTTTGAGTAGAATCCAATTCCATTGAAGGCAGCAAAGTTATTAATTTTCTTCTGAGCTAAAATTTTACCCCATAGAGGAGTCAGTTTTACATAATATCCAAAACAATTTCAAAAAGTATTAATCAAACTTAAAAACGATGTACTTGTTTTGTAGGATCAAGTACTTAGTGACATGATTTTATTTCTGTATCTTGATCAAGTTGACTAATTTGCATGGATCTGACACTGCAATGTTCATTTGTCAAGTCATGACCTTATGTCTAGGAAAGCAGAGTCCCTAAGATGCTGAAGACAAAAGCTGCAGGAGTACCTAACTTTTTGAAATATTCAATTTTGTTAACTATTCCTAAATAAATTTCAAACTTGATATGTACTAAAAAAAACCCCACCACAATTTGGAAAGGAAACTAATGGGGAGGACATACCTCCTTCTGAATGTGGTACCTCAGAAATGTAGTCCGTGTCTTTAATATCTTCATTGACATATGCACTTAAATTCATAGGCCATCATAGAAGAGAATAATGTGCAGTAACTAAGATAGCAATCTTTTTATATACATCCATGCAGCTGGTCCAAGGGGATGGAAGCATTGTATATTATCGTATCTTGATTATACCAGTGCAGTTCATAGGTGAAGAGCAGTAACTGACCTTCATTTTCCTCTGTGTAGCAGTATTGAATTTACCTCCATTTGACCTAGACCTGTAAAAAAACTAAAATTACAAAAGCTTTATACATTAAGCTTTTAGAATAAAAAGAATACCTTTTGGCCTTTGTAATAGTTAAGATGATTCCATGGCTTTGTGTCTGGGAATGGACAGAACAGAGGGAAAAAAAAAAGAACTTTACTGTTTTGGTGTCCAATCTAAAAAAACCCTGACAAAATTTCAGAGACTAGATCAAGTTTTTAAAAACAGAACAGACCATAAGATCTTCTATCTGCAAAAGCTAGTATTAAATAAATACTAGTTTTACATCACACAACATGATCTTTATATTGGCTAAGTTTCTCTAATTTTCAAAGTGTGATAAAAAAAAAGAGGCACTGTACTGTAAATAACCGATATTTTCAGCTTGAGCTTTGGAATTATTTGCCACTTTCCAGCTGGAGAGTCAGGTTTAACAAAGCTGCTGGAGGCTCATCCGTGGGGAAAGCTTTATTTATTACACTTACATAGACACCCAGGGGAAAAGTCACAAGGTGTCTAAGTAGTATAGAAAGCAGAGTACTACCTCTGCTAGTAAATTATGTGTATAGCCTTCAGAGTATTTTCTGTTCTAACCTTCAGATGGGACATAGGTTTTTTTTCCACATTATTATACATTTAACTAGATTTGATTGGCAAATTTATTTTCTAATGAAGATTTTTACTAGAATTAAGTTTTTTATTCTGTATTAGCACACCTTAGAGCTCTCTTATTGCATTTTGGCCAATATGAAAATAACGTTCTATGCACACTGAGGTTTTGTACACAAAGGAAGGAGATGTGTGAAGAACAATTTCATACTCCGTTTTATGTTTACAAATCTAACTGCGCTAGAAATTTTTGCTCATACATTTTTTATGTAGGTTGTGGACTCTCCCTCCATAGAGATATTAAAAAACTGTCTAGACATGGTCCTGGGCAACTAGCTCTAAGTGACCCTACTTGAGCAGGGGTGTTGGACAAAGTGGCCTCCAGAGGTCCCTTCCAACCTCAACCATTCTGTGATTCTTGTTAGGAATAAATGAGTTTAACTAGATTTACATTTTAAATGTAAGTAATTGCACTACAACTTCTCAAATTGTTTTAGTTCTCTTCACTTTTCTCCCTGTGACTTTTCATGCCTTTAAGTATTTTATATCTTTATAGCCTTTGACTTCTGACAGTGTTGATATAGTGTGTAATGAAGTAAGAAACAAAACAGAAAATGCATCCTAAGCTGGAAAAAGAGTATTACTCCTGACTAAAAAGGAAGTCTGGGAACCTGTAAGCAATAAATAGCCTTTTTTGTTCCTGATCTAGTCCACAAAACAGGGATTTGTTGCACTCTTGTTTACTTACTAAGAACATCTATAAAGTTATGACCTGACTCACTATAAATCTCTTTTCACTGGTAAGATAGGAAGGTTCTGCATAGTACCTCCTTGCTTGAGATAAGGGAAAACACTAAAATACATATATATAGATACATATTTTGATAGCAGGACTGCAGACTCTGTACATCTAAAAATAGATACATTTATGATCATCAGCACAAAAATTAAACCAGAAGTTAGTTAATTAGTATGAATTCATGGCCATTCCTTTGCCAAGTGCATACACTTCTGACTAAACACAGTAAGACAATTGTCATGAATTACTATACTGGGAAATCTCTTTTAGGTTGTGATTGAGTAAGCGTGATGTATTGGTCCAAAGGAGAGGAGTGATGTGGAAGTTTATTTGAAATAAGCAAGAGAGTGGGAAGCAACTGTTAATTCATCCTACTGGAGAAGGGTTCACTCTATGAAGTAACAGTCTGGAAAAATCCAGATTCTGATAATCCTTCTGCACAGAAATGCCATACACAGCTGAGGTACATTTTGCAGAAGCATACTGTGGTTTTGATTAACAAATGAAAACACAGTAATGAGTTCTTCCTGTAGACAGCTAGTAGAGACACTATCATTATGGGCACCTTCTTTTCCTGACAGGTCCTCAGGAGAGGACTCCAAAGAAAACTCCAGGAGTTGAGACATGTTTTTTCTATTACTGAACCATGTAGCCAGTTCACAGAAAATAAGTTGGAGAACGATGGTGCTCACTGTACTTACAACAGCATATGGCATGGGAATGCCATTTCCCACTAGAATCCCAAGCACTGCTACTGGTTCTCATGATACAAGAAGCTTAACCAACAATTAGACATTAAACGAAGCAATTTTCAGGAGAAACAAACAGGAAATACAGCAGAATTATTACTGTACTGAATGAAAAAAAAACCAAACCCAACAAAACCCCAACCCAAAGTGTTCAGAATTAGTAAGTTTAGTCAAACACTCCTTCTGCTTATGCATATCTTGGTTCTTGTCCAAATTCTCACAACCAGAATCCTCTAAACTACAATCTCCAAAAACCTGCTGCTGAGATTGTACCTGCCATTCATTCAATCCTCCATTGAAATTGGAGGATTCTGTTGCTCAGAGGTATCACGGAGTTGATAAAGGTATTGCCCTTTAGATCTTAGTCAGTGTTCAGTGAGAGCACTGAAAACCCTCCTTCATGTACTTCACGTGTAATTGCTATACAATTGAGAAGGTAATTGCCAGTAGTATCAGCAAATTTCCAGATAGTATAAGTAAATCAAACTACACATGTTCACCAGTTTTCAGTAATCCTTAAGACTTCACAAGTGATTTAACACATCAGAGTGTAATAGCATGTGCTTTTGTGAACTAGAGCAGTCAACTCTAGAATTTGTATGAATTTTTTTACAGAATACTATTCTGATCTAAATCACACACAGACCCTTAGCACAAAATATCAACTGTTTAATTCATTATTCTGGTTTTGGAAGAATTTCTATAAACCAATGAAACTAGCCTTCATCTATGTCTAAGGTCAACCTAGCTTCTCAATCTTCTGCAAGAAAATGTCTCCTCAAGTTCAAGCAATGCATCAAAAGCATTTACAAAGGTGTCAGCCAGCCCAAAAAGGAGGAAGAAAAAAAAGAGAATGTGTTGGTCTGACTTGCTTGTACTTGCCAAGATCGTACACTGCATTATCACAGTCTGAAATAAGTCTCCAAGGGAAAAAATAAGTGAAGTTTCAATTCAGTGGAGGGGGAATAAAAGATAACCATCACCAGAATATAAATTATTAACACTGTATTTTGATCCAACTCCTAAAGCCAGCTACTACTGAGATGATTTTGCTAAAAACCAAAAATATGTTAGAGACTTATGAGAAAGGAATAATGGAAAGTGATTGTAAAATCTTCAGCTGCTATCTCCATCACTCTTGCTTTGATTTAATCAGGTCTCTAAATCAGAGGATTAATCTCCAAAAATGCTTGTAAGGGAAGCATGAAGAATTTATAATAAAAATGAAAGTCAGTACTGGTGAAGTACAGTGTATCACTCCGTACTTAAAAATGCCTGCAAAAAATAGCAAATACTTGTTCCAACTGAGAAGGAAGCATTAACATTTGACGTAGTTATATTTATTTCACAACACAGATTTTGAACTGTTGTTATCAATTTCTTCTTTTAAAGACAGCAAAGGATGTAACACCATGGTTACATGGACAAAGTGAAATTATAATCTCATTAAACAATACATAACTGGATAACTGTGTGATTGATGGAGCTGAACACAAGTTTCAGGCACCAGTGTCAAAACACAGACATATTCTGTGCGAATGACCCTGCTACTTGAACAATCTGGCTGTGAATGGAAAAAAAGAAATTAAGTCAAGCAGATCATGTTGATCCACTGACAGCATGTAAAATAGAAGACAAAAATAGTCAGTCGGCAAACAGAAATACAAAATGCTTTCTTTGTAACAGAGTAAGTAAAACCTATTTTTAATGCCTTCCCTAGTGACTGCCCCCTCCTTCCCATAACTGAAGTCTTAGGTCTCCATGATAGTGGAATAAATGCATTTCTTCCAGCTCACAGGTGACATCCCCAGCTATGAGGATACAGGAGATTTTGATCCAAGAAAATACTTATTTGGTAGTCCTATATTAATTATTAAAGCTTTAGCAGGGGTGACTAAATATGCTTCCTCTGACAGCACACCCTATTTCTAAAGGCCAAGGCATACAGAGCTAGGAGAGGTGACCTGAAACAGGATAGACTTGAAGTCTGGTTTTCCATATTTATATTGTAATAACTGACCCAATCACATATGGCACAAGACCTATCCTATTGCCTTACTTCATATATATAACCCAGTAAATGACACACACTCTGTATCTATGCTAACTAGAACCCTTAGATGAAAGCATGTCTAGTGAAAACCATGCCTTACATTCTGTGGGAAACAGCCATTTCTGTGGAGATATCCAGAGCCTGAAGCACTTTTAGGCATATCCTAGAATAGACCTATGGAAGTTAAATATTTGAATACTTAAGTAGTTTCAGATCTTTCAGGACTAAGATTTGAGAGTTAAGATTTTAAGGCAGCAGCCAGGAACATAGGTCCCTTGTACTCATGTAGTGTTTAATCAGAAAAGCACCATTTTCTTTTGGCATTTAAACCAACATATAATTTCAAATGATGATTAGAAATCAGACCATTATCAATGCAAAAAAAGAAGTGTTTCACATCAAGATTAACATTTACAGAGCTAAAATCCAGAAGAAACAAACCATAGAATTTTGTACTTGTCTAAGAAAGTCAGACAACACAAAATTGGTAAGGAAAAGAAATCCTGGTGGGCTTTTTTTGTTTGTTTGGTGTTAGGTAGAATTTTTGTTTGTTTTTAACATTATATGCTCTTCTTGTTGTAATAGCTTAGTTGCTATGGCAACCATTCATACTCCAGCAGACTTCCACAAAAGGGTTAGTACAGACAAACAATTCATGTTTTCTTCAGCAACAGTTCAAAAAAGCTGCAATAAAAGATCAGAGCATTGCCCAAGAAGAGTACTGGAGTCCTTCCTAGTCAAATAATAACATGACAACACAGTTACCCACCCTCTACAGCCCCTCCTCAACCCATTTACTACCCCAACACCTTCACTCA